TTTTTACGATTTGGAACGCGTTTTTTGTTATTGATATTGCTTACCTGGGTAAAGATGATTTTTCGATTGGTTATCATTTTTCGTTTCACAATTTCTAAACATTAGTGGAAAAACTACAAATATATAAACAGTTGCCTTCATTCCATATTCTCTAATTTGATCCATTGTTTTTATACAAGAATAAAATTCAACTTTGAATTATCGATTGTTTTTCTACCAAGTCTGAAGCAATACAAGCAGATTCAAAATGAAGGGTATGGGTGTGGGTGTGGGTGAGTGGGAGCGAGGTGTGGCTGTGTAGGTCTGGTTACAAGAAGAAAACTCATACCCACACCCACACCGTCGGATGAAACATTAATGGATATGGTTCTGTGACAGACTAAAGAACACAACCCTTCATGTTTTTTCGAGTAGTTCATTTTTTTCAGAATAGTCATACGAGAAAACAATGTTTTTCTCTCGTATTTTTGACTCGTCAACTATTCCTCGAGACAGAAACTACAACCAAGTGGAACTTTTAGACGACTGCGTCATGTACATAACTTTGTTTTCTTATAACAACTTTTGACAATCAACGAAGTTTAGATGTTTGTTCTCTATAATCAAGCGAAAAACCTAAATTAAATTTATCATTAGTGCACGGTTTTTCTGAATACGAACAGCATAAAAAATAAAATTTTAGAAGGAGTTACATTTGTTTTTATCTGGTGGCTGGCTCACACTAAGCGAATCGAAAATACTTCAAGTAAAGAATCAAATTATATATTTGAAAACGACATGAAAGTCTCAAGTTACAAGTTAAATTTTTATTGCAGAGCAATTTAAAAAAAGAAATCAGTCTCGTCGATGTTGTTGGGCAATGAATAAAAATCGTGTAAGAAGATGCATTGTTCATAAAACAGATTATTATTCTAATACCATTAAGATTTATTGATTGAAATACCATGCTCATTATTTTTCAGCAAATTTTGTTGATAGTTCTTAATGGCATCTAATTGTGTTTTAATCATCGGTATTTCATCGAGTTGATTTATTAAATAATAAATGTTAGATAAATTTTTGCTGTTTTCATTTGATTCTATTTTATTCAGTTGTTGTTCGTATTTCATTTTTAGGTCGTTTAATTTATAGAATAATTTTCGATTTAAATCGCTTGATGTTTCTTTTTGACCAATAAAATATTCTTCATTTATCATCCTGTCTATGCCAAGTAAAAATGGATCATTTACTTGAGTTTGAGAACTATTCATTAAAAATCGAGCAAATCTTGCACATGTTTCACAGAGAACATCGATGTATTTATTCAAATTATCGAGTGGTTCATTTACTTGATGGTCGACAGCTTGATAGTGGAGTCTGTATTCTATCGACTTTGGTTCATTTGATGTACACTATAAATATATTGAGATTTTTATCGAAGAAAATTTTCATCGCGATAAGAACGAAACATATCTGTTAGTTATATATTTTTACCGTTGGAGGAGTTGTAAGTAAAGAGTGGGCGAAATTCAATTTACCGTCGAAAAATTCGAATACCTACTCCATAATGTAATGAAGTCTGCTTATTCTTTTATCATCTTCACAGGTAAATATTCATAAGAAAAAGATTGAAAAATCGTGCATTGAAGTATCATCAGTGATGCACTAAAACCTATGAGAACTTGTAGAAAAAAAGAACGCTACATATATTCAATTAAAGAAATAAGCAATCAATGTATCTTCTTGCCTACATTTTTTTTACTCTTCTCTTTTGTTGTCGAATTTATCTCACAAATAATATTTTCTCAGTAGTTATCTCCTAATAATTTTATCCATAAACAGCAAGAAGTTACTCAGACTTCTCCAATATTCACTATTCAAAATGATGATATTGGTTGTATCAGCAGTTCATATTAGAAGAAAAGACATTGATTTTATAAATAAAAACTTGAAGGAATAAAAGATACTTATAAGTTATTGCTTTTTCAATATGATTAGAAATCAAATATACTGTCGTTTATTGTTAAATAATAGACATTCACTTACGCCTAGTTACTTCTGTTCTAATCATTTAAAAATGAATGCTTAATAATTAATAGACTACTTCATACTATTGAAAAAGTGATGGACTCCTTGATGAGACACTAAATATGATGTCTTCTTTCGATTTAGAAAAGTGATACCAATTTGTTCAAAAAGCGACAATTGTCGAACTGTAATATGCAACTTGATATTGAATCGTTTTTCTTTTATTGATTTTGTTCAATTGTCAGTTTTACTAAAGATTTAGTCACATATTTTCAAAAGAAGCATATCTAAATGAAAATATCTGACTTTCTTCGCTGATCATCACTTAAAATTATGTTGGTGATAATTAATATAATTGGAAATCTTTTTTTTTAATGTAGACATGTATCTATCAATCAAATGCTATCAATGAAAATCAAGAAACTCACTTAAGAATATCGATAGCAAGACGATCGGAGTACAACTCATTAAGTTTCATCTTCAACTTCAATCAAGAATTGTTAATCTAGTATATCACGGCAATGAAAATAAGATTCAACAGCAGCAAATATAGAAATATTTTTTCGAGAGAAAATAAAAAAGCTACTTAACTTTATCTGTGAGGTATTGTGAAATTCAATTCAACAACTTAGCCTAGATTTCATTTGACAAAATTTATTGATGATACATCGAGGACAAAACATTATTCTTCATTTTCAAAAACATTGTCGAACTATTTAAATTTTAACATGGTATAGAATGATAGTGCAGCCTTGCATATCAGGCTGCAGATATTCAAAAGAATAATTAAGGAAAAACTTTTTTGCCTTGTATTTATCTCTGATTAGTACGTATTAATGATTTATAGTCTTTAAAGTTATCGAATCCTTATGAATATATCAACAAAGTTATTTCAAAATGATTTCTATGGACCATAAAAACAGTATTTTCGAAATTTTGTAATTATTTCTACATTTCATTTTTAAAAAAAATCGATTTCTATTTTTTATTACGAACAAATATAATATTATTGAATAAAACTTCTAAAATTTGTTCCTACGACTGAAATATTCATAAATACATTTATTAGAGATTATTCTTAGTCTATAAAGTTCAGTTGTTTGTCAATCATATGAAGTTTTTTACAGAAACATCATGGACATTGATAAACTTTAGTTCTAATCTTATTTTGTAATCACATTCGTGTCAGAATCTGTTTTAGAAAAATAAATAGTTGTTTTATTTTTCTAACTTTGTTATACTCTAATTGAGATAAGCATACATACAAGTGTGATCGAGTACCTAGAAAGAATGATATGAATTAATATCAAGGCTATTTTAGATTGATATGCTCTTTGTTTAGTTACAAATGTTCTAAACATCATGTGCAATTTGACAGGACAATGTGAATGAGAAAGATGAAGACACGAAAACATACTTGTCCTATACTTAGTTCTGATCCAAGCCCTCTTACGTATTTCTCGCAATCCTCTGACTAGATTTTAGAAAGGCGATATTTTGTAAACGAACAAAATCTAATCAATGAATAATCTAAAATGTATAACAGACATCGTTATATCTTACACTAGGACCTTTTGTATTAGTAACCTTGCCTCGAGATATTTGATTATTAATTTATTCACTTTTCGTATGTGAACATAATATTATGAACACTATTCACATTCAATGTTTTACACAGTCATCTGACTTTCGAGATAGCAACTTTTTAGAGTCTTGTTGAGACTTTGTCAATGACACTGGCATCACAATAGATTCAACTTCTTCTTCTGTAAGTTTACCGATACACCGAAGTGTGAGAAACCCTGACAGTTTTATATAAAGTCCCTAGATTATCAGTATTGGTGACATTATTTCATATGAAAGGAATAGATTTACGATAAATAAAGATGAAGATCTATAATCAGATGAAAATAACAAAGGCTTTTGTTTTTGCATCAAGCAGATATTAAGAAGGTTTGTTCGTCGCATCTATGAGTTGAGTAGTAAAGATCATAAAATTTTAAAGTGAATATTTTTTTTTTTGTTCTTGATAACTACTATAAAAGGTTCTATAGTTAGTGAAAACCTTTCTCTTAGATGAAATATGACTAGGAAACTGCAAAGTGGTCCCGATCCCGGTCCCGCGGGACCAAAAATTATTTTTTTACGGGACTGGGACCGGGACCGGGACTGAAACCATTTTTTAGCTGGCCCCGAAAAATTATTTTGAATAAAAAAAAGAACTCAATTGTCTTTTCAAGTCGATTGATGATCAATAATTTCTTTTATTATTTCATAAAAAAAAGCGAAAACCGATATTTTCAAATGTCTATTAACATTAACATGTTTATAATATTCACATATAGACAGATAATAGACTATTTAGACGATTTATAAGAGCAGAATCAGAAATATACACATTACACGGCGCACACTTATCTGCGACACCGTAATAGGTTTCTTAAAAAAAAATTTTTATGTTCGCTATTAAAAAAACGGGACCTTGACCGGGACTGGGACTATAAAAAAATATTAGCCGGGACCGGGACCAAAAAAACCCGGTCCTGCAGTTCCCTAAATATGACAAACTTTTGACTAGCATCATAGTTTCAATAAATATTAATTTTTACTATTGTCTAAATCTATTTTACAATAGAATCTATAAAAAGAAAAATAAAACAGTTGATTTTGAAATATTCTATCGAGATTCATGCATTTTTCTGTAACTGTACAAAAGATTCTATAAAAATAAATGAGATATTTTTTTTCTACTATTAAATGTTTAAATGAATAAAAACACAATTGAGACTAACCATATTCAATGAATTATGTAGATGATCTGGTAAAATCCAAAAATCATTAAACTTCTCAGGATTACGATTACATTTATAGAATATCATTGATGATGGACTTCCATGTGTTGCACGAAGTTCAATTGATAAATTAAGACTATATAAGATAATATTTCGATAAAGATTTCGCATAGTTTCTAATATTGGACGAATCATGAAATTAATTTGAAATTGAGCATCTTTAATTGATTGCCATTCATAATTTTTACGGTATTCATGCAGATGACAAAGAAAATCACGAAAACGTTCTGATTCAATAGTTGATCGAATCCAACTTTGTTCAAAATCATGTCTTTTATTTAAATCAAATGTAATTGAATCTCTTATTGCTACTAAATATCGAAATGCTTTACTATCAAAACAAAATGTATTATTTTTCTCAAAGGGAATATTCTTTCTTGGAAATGATTCAAACAATTTTTTCAATAATGGTCGTGTATTACCTGGAGTAAAGAATGTTGAACGTGCATTAGTAAAACAAAATATAAAATTATTAACAATATTTTCACCAAAATAATCAAATAATTGAATAAGACAAGATTGCCAATAAAGATTTAATTGTACAACTTCAGGTTTAAATAAAAGACATATACCATTTAAATAATTGATATTATGAAGAAAAGAAAATATTCCTTCCATATTAAGATCATCTTGATCAACACCACGTGTATCACCAAAACCAGGTGTATCAATAATACGTAATTTTTTTTCATTCGAAATATCAAAAACATAAGATTTACAATGTTGAGTTACCGATTGACCTGAATTATTATGATTTTCATTCGAATCAATATGACCGAATTTAATTATTTTTTCATCGAAATTGTCATTGATTGTTATTAGAAATGAAACAGGTATGATAACAATTGGTTCTGCTTTTTCAGCGTCTGCAAGAGTTTGAAAATGAAGATAATTAGCAAAAGCATTAATGAATGTTGATTTACCAACACCAGACTCTCCCAGAAGAAGAATATTAATAAAATCATTAGTTGAAGACAATGGTGGTGATGGTGATGGTAGTGAAGAAGTTTTTATTTTTGTATCACTTTCAGATGATTGAGAATTTGATGTATTTCGGTTTGCTTTCATATCTGAAGATATTTCGATTGTCATCTTTTTCAATTCATATGTTGAATCAGTGAAATCAGCATAGACGAGACGAAGTTTCGGATTCTTTCTTTTTTCCTCGAATAATTGAGAATAGATTTCAGTCCAGTCCATTTTATGATTATTTCTATATTCATCAGTTGAATAAAATATAGCTTTGTTGGAGTCATTACCAAAAAGTATGTCGTTGACTTTCGATGGTAATAATCCATATCGAATGCCTAGATCTACAACATCACAGTATTCACAGCCTTCATTTTGTAGTTGTTTAATAAAGTTTACTTTCGATTTCAATTGCTCTATATCGATAATAATCTTGTTACTCAATTCTTGAATTTTCTTTGGTGAATCCAAACTCACTTTTTCATTTAGACTTTGAGATCTTATACCATTTCGGATGTTCAAAACTAGATTTTTCAGTCGTTCAAGATCGTTTATTTGTAAAACTTGTAATTTTGAAAGTTTTTCCTGAATTTTTTTGAATTGTGTTCTATATCTACCTTGTAATAAGTCATATAAATTATGATTGATACGAAAATTCAATGTTTTTAATTCAGATATTTGTTGAAATAAATAATAATCAAGAGTTTCGATCTCTTCTGATATAGATAGAATTATGTTTGGCAAATGTGAAGCATATCGATCGTAGAACCATGAAATAGGAGTAAGAATATATTTTAATCTTTGATGTACTTCAAAATTTTCTTGCAAATCTTTTATTATCTGATAAATGTATTCAAATTTTTTCAATTTAGTTAAAGAATTGATATTTGAATAGATTGTAGTTGTGATAATTCGATCAAGTAGAGCTCTTTCTTGTAGATTTATTTGTGCCATATGTTGATTGTTCCTTATATTTTCTTGGAGTTTTTGCAACACAACATCAATTTCTTGTTCTTGATCAGGAGGTAATTGTAGAATAACCAGAAAATGAATACCCCAAATGATTTCAGTTATAATATGAGTTGAGAATTTTCTACATTCCGATGCTGCTAACGGTGTTACATAGTTCCATATATAATCTTTAATTGCTTCTTTCCTTGATTCCTGATAAAAATAAAGAAGTCGAGTACGCGCATCAATCATTTGAGAATAATTAATTAAGGAAGCTATTCCAGTTGCATAAGTCATTTCTAACAATATACTTAAGCGTAACTGTTGATCAATCTCAACAAATTTAAGTAAATTTTGATATTTAGGCATACATTTATTGATAAATTCACATTTCATTGATTTTTCTATTTTATCACAGTGAATTTTGAATTTATGACCTAGTTGTCCTCGAATATTGTCTGTGTATCCATCATATAATGATCCAATAGAACCACTCTGATTAATAGCGATGCGTTCCATATTAACTGGAGATTTATCATAAATCTCTGGCATCATTCCTTTCATTTCATTTTTTATTATTTCAGATATTTTTTTAAAGTCCATTGGATTATCTTGTCGATAGATTCCACTGAAAATAATCAATATAACATAGAGTAAAAACATACTTCAATATCTTCATAAGACTCGACCTAACAGAAAGACACATGAACTTCTTGTTTTAGTAACATTTCATTTTACATTTTAAAGATTTTTTCCTACGAAGGAACTATTCCAGCTGTAATCTATCATTGGAACTTATATTAGATTCAAAAGAAGATCTCGGTAAAACTAAAAATATCCTAGAAGGTTTCGTGTCCATGGGTCTTTCAAGCTATGTTTTGACTATTTTATTGTACTTTTAATTCATTATTATAAATTTACTGCAACTTCAACGAAATTAATTTCGACAAGATATTTTGACGTGTAATTTTCTCTTTAGATAATATTTATGACCGTCGGAACAGAGTTGGAATCGATTTGGTCTAGTCGATTTTCACCAGCTGAACAACGTTTTATAGATATGTCAATCTTTCTGATAAGACTAGTTGAAAACAAATTTTCATGCTGTCATCAAAACAATCGACTTATTTCGTTTTCTTTCTTTGGAAAAGTCAGTTTAGGAAAATTCTAGATTTGAAATGTGACAATCGACTGATGTGTACATGATGTTATTTTTAAAACTATATGTATAGATAAATATCTCAAATACTTATCTTTGAGAAATCTAACAAATACGATGAGCTACAACATGATATTTCATCCTGGGGATCTATAATAATCTGAGCGAAAAAAGAATAATGAGTGTTTTTCAAGCCATTTCTTTTACTAATTAGTAGCGATGCGACAGACGAGCCACTAGCTGATAACTTTCACTAGTCTGAAAGATTTTTTGAAGCAACTGAGCAATGATCGAATCGGATCAGTCTAAAATTTAGATCTATGAACTGAATAACATCTACGATCTCGATCAGTTGCAACCTTGAGTTATTACCTGTTTTTCTTTTCGTGAAAGTTATAAGCGAATTGGAATAAATCTTGCTGCAACATAAATATCATAGAAAAGATCAACACGAAAAATAAACAGCGGAAAAAGAGCTGAAATCAATTGCTTTTGGAATAAATTGACAAAACGAAATGTTTTTCATTAAAAACTCGAGAGTACTGTTGTTTTTTTCATACTTTCTCTCAATTTTAAATTAAAACAATCGTTTTTTTTAACTATTGTGATGGATTTTATCCATTAAGTGTGTGAAACGTCGATTTTAATAACCAAGTTCTGCCTACAGGCTTAAATTATAAAAAAAAAAGTACTAAAAAACCAAGGCACACAACATTCGAAACTAAATCTTTTGGATTATGCGATAATGTGATTTTTCAATTACATAGATTTTTTTATCTAAAATTGATAGAACGATTTAAAAACAAAGGAACTGTTTTCTCATCGACAAAAATCTCTAACCCAGGTCGAAAAGTACCGGCCGGTTCCGGCAGGAAAACACCGGAAATCAACGGAACATGGAAGCAGTATTCCGGCCGGAAATTTTTCGGATTTTTTCCGGTGGATTCCAGCCAATTCCTGTTCTTTCCGGCAGGAACCGGCCGGAAATCCGCCGGAAAAGTCCGAAAAATTTCCGGCCGGAATACTGCTCCCATGTTCCGTTGATTTCCGGTGTTTTCCTGCAGGAACCGGCGATTTTTCCGCGTCTTTCCTGCCGGTTCCTGCAGTATCCGGTGACCGGAACGATCGACCTGGGAAGCATTTAGATCAAAGTTTCATTGTAACACCAGTTCTATCAGATAGAAAAGCTTTGTAAATTTGCTGATTTTTACTGGTGAAAACTATTTTCAAACCAACCAAACTAGGTCGGTTCCAACTCTGCCTTAGAATATCCTGCTAGTTTCAACCGAAAACAATACTCATGTATCAAGATGTTGGACTTTCAAGAAATGGCCGCTTGGCATAGATATGTCATGGAAATCGAGTTTATACTTGGAAGTCTAATATCTCGACAAGTGAACATTTTTTTCGGCGAAAACTTTCATAATATTCTAGGATCATTATGCCTATCTATGGGCAAAATTTCTAGTCAAAATTGTCTTATTTCATGCTTTAGTAAATACCTAAAATGTGTCCAAAGTTCAGTCGAACGATCATAATTAAACTTCAGAGGCTTATGAACTCAATATAAACTCAAACGATGAGATAGATTTCGGATAATTCCCTCGCCAGTAGTTAAGAATACGTCTACAAGTAACTGTTTTAACAATAAATTCAAATATAAATGCATATTGACAATTGTACGAAAAGAAAAATTGAATTTTTCATTATTGAAAAATATTGAACACACATTTTGATAATTTTCACTTCAAAAAAAATCAGTCTATCGTCAAAATAAAAAAAAAAATTAGAGGAATATTTCTATTTTCTATTCATTAAGAAATATTCCGTTTATCAATATAATGAACATACAAAAATTATATAAAATTATCTATTCAAACAAGATCAAATATAGATTGAGTTTTAAAAATTAGAAAATACTCATAATTTCGTTTTTTTTATTTCAAAGAATTCTTTTAGATAGAAAAAAGAAGAAATTTCTTAAATCTCTTGAAAATAAAAGAAAAATATCGATTTTGTCAAAAAGTAACAATGATGAAATAATTAGTTTAACATATTTTATATAAACAATACTGATGAAATAAAATTCTTCTCTTTAACATAAAACGTTTTATTAATAAAACGATAAAATAAGTGGAAAATAACCTCCTTTTGTGAAATGCGATTTAAAAGAACAGTTGAACTATCGAGATAGAAATTTTGACTCTCAGTCTAGCGATCCTTCACAGACCGTGAGGGTATAAATAATAACTATATCATCTTTTCGGCTTTAATCCAGCAAGGCTCGCACTAAAAGCTTTTCATTTCTCTATATTACACAAATTTAAATACAATAAATATAAGTATGACTGAATAGTTAATAATACTATTGAATTTGATATTTGTGCTGCTTAATTTTTAATTAGTTATTTTAAATAAAATCATTAAAATCCCTGCTAAAGTAAAATATAAAAAGTAATGTTCTTAAACTTATGATTTTCCTAAAATCTCTTTCAATAAATTAGACAGTTTATGGTATTGCTATGATTCTTACTCATTGCAAAAAGAATACTGTTTATAAACTATCGTCAGATGTACAGAAAAATGCGTCTTTTTTACTATATCATTGAAAGTTTCATCATCTTACCTGAAAAAATACGAATTCTGTTGATGTGTTGCTGTTTTTTTTTGACTCGTTAAACATGTGTGTTAAAACAACAAAAATCTACAGGAAACAGCACAGCAAGAAAAAAAACTGGCGCATTTCTTATCGCAAAAAAGAAAACGAAATAGAAGAAAGAAAAAATGGCTGCGTTTCGCGGAAGAAACGAAAATTGCACAGAAACCAAAATAACAGGAAAAGAATACCGTATGGGGTGGGTATGAGTGTGGGTGAATTTGTCGTTGAAGAGAAGATTCGATCTAGCACCATCACATTCACAT